CCCCCCCCCCCCCCCAACAATGTGAATAAGTGTTGTGGTTATCCGCCTGCGTGTTCCCCAGATTCTATTTTTAGATCTTCTTACCTTGTGACTTTTTTTTTTCTTCTTTTTTTTTTAAAAAAGGACGACGACATTGAGATATCATCATTAACCTGATCGCCCCCAAGTAATTTCAGCGATAGCTGTTTTTACAACTTTTACTCATCATCAAGTTCCATCATCATCTGGATTCGAACACGTGTCTGTATTTTCAGCAGTTCATGATGGTTATCAACAGTTCATGGGTTTAGCCACTGAGCTACCGGTAGGCTCTTGTGTGTGTTATCTTGTACCTTCACCCTTCTCCTTTCCCACTCTATTTCAGCCACCTGCTAGAGTCTTCCCCCGAATACAACGCACGGTCATTATACCTGAATTTGGTGTATCTTTCAGTCTAAATTCAGCTATAATGACCGTACGTTGTATTCGGGGGAAGACTGTAGTCTCTCAACCGGTTCCTGGGATTGATAGATGCATTTGCTTACCTCTGGGATCTCCTATCGCGATCGATTGTCGGTAGTCCCTTCTATCTCGATCCAGATCCTGGTTCTCGAAGAGTCACTTCTCTGCCCGCCATCTGATTCTTTTTTTTTTTTTTTTTTCTGTCTTCCGCTCTGGGCTCGGCACTCTCTTCTGTCGGGGGAGCGCTTGACGGCGAGGGAGAAGGGGGGGGGGGGGGGGGGGGGGGAATCTTTTTTTTTTTTTCCCCCCTCGAAATTCCAACTTTCACTCCTTTCTTCAAAATTCAACGAAGAAGAAAAAGGATTAAAAATCTATTTCATTCACTCGCCCTTTCTCTGTGTCCTTTTTTTCCTTCCCTTTTTCATTTATTTTTTCAGAAAGATTTTTTTTATTTTTTTTTTCCCTTCCCTCGAAATTCCACCTTCCACTCCTTTCTTCAAAATTCAACGAAGAAGAAAAATTATATTTCATTCACTCGCCTTTTCTCTGTGTTCTTTTCCTTTTTCCCCTTTTTTTTTTGTTTCTTTTTTTTTTTTCCACAGTGTTGTTGCACCTTTGGCCTTTGATATATCATCATGATCTGATATGACCAGCCCGAGGTCAATTCACCAGCAGCAGCAGAAAACTGACTTTATTCTTTTCGTCAGAATAGATACGTTGTATCTGGATGCGATCGTTAGTCTCTCTATTTCAATTTTCAACAGTTTCATGGGTGTGTACTACCAACTGAGCTAGCGCGTTTTCGCCCGAATAGAACGCCAAGTCATTATCGCTGTGTGTATCGAGACTGAAAGTCGCCCCATATAAGGCTATAATGACTGGGCGTTCTATTCGGGTGAAGACAGTAAGTAGGCCTGTTGGTATTCTCTGTGTTCTTGCATTTTTTATTCTTATTCTTATTCTTATTCTTATTCTTATTATTATTATTATTATTTTGTGTGTTCTTTTATTTCTTGCGTATTGCCTCTCGAATTTTAGAACCCCGCAAAGAGAGAGAGAGAGAGAGAGAGAGAGAGAGAGAGAGAGAGAGAGAGAGAGAGAGAGGAGGTTGAAAAGCACGGAGAGAGGGGCCCGCAAGAACGTAAATGCTTGAGGAGTACCCATGTTCTGGTGATGGCGGTGTCCTTTTTCATCCACGTACCCAACACTTAGGGATTTCGGACTAAGGATGTAGGAAGTGAAGAAGGGAGGGATTCCCAGCGAAGCAGGGTTGCAAGTAGGAAGAAAGGCGAGGGAGAGAGAGAGAGAGAGGAGGAGGAGGAGGTTGAAAATAACGGAGATG